AGCTTGGGCCTTCCTCCCGGTGAACTATTTTGCCACCCTGACGGCTCCCATGGTAGCCCTACGCTGCAATCCACGCCCCATAGTGCATAACTGTCTCTGCCTCCTTGGTCACATGGTGGCCTGTATCCGTGTGATGCCCCCTGCCTGCCTACACATGCGCTGTCTACAACTGTGGCTCCTCTAAGTCTGCAGACCCACCTGGATGTCATCCTGATTGTCCCACATCTGGTCTGGACCTCCCTACTGTGGTGGACCAACCCTGCCAAGGTGTTGCTAGGCACTCCCTTCACCACTTCTGCCCCCACAGCCACCATCACCTCGGATACCTCTCTAGCCGGTTGGAGTTCCCACCTCGACGGACACGCCGCGCAAAGGACATGGACGCAGCGCATCAACATCCTGGAGCTTCGAGCAGTCCGCTTAGCCTGCTGTGCATTCCTGCCCCTCATCTAAGCCCAACACATTCAGTTCCTCTCTGACAATACCACTGCAGTGGCATACATAAACTAGCAAGGGGGCACCAGGTCCTGGTCACTGTCAAATTTCCTTTTTTGTCCGGGTTCCTGGCCTAGTGGTTAGGATAGTTATATATCTTGATTTTAGTAAGGCTTTTGACACAGTCCCACGTGGCATTCTCATAAGCAAATTAGCCTAGACTAGTGGTCTAGATGAAATTACTATAAGGTGATTACTATAACTGGTTGAAAGACTGTACTCAATGACTGTCAAAATGGGTTCACTGTCAAACTGGGAAGGCGTGTTAACGGGGTCCCACAGGGGTCCGTCCTGGCTCAGGGACTGTTTAATATTTTCATTAATGACTTGTACAATAGAGTGGAGAGCATGCTTATAAAACTTCTGGATGACACCGTGCTGGGAGGGGTTGCTAACACTTTGGAGGACAGGATTAGCATTCAAAATGATTTTGACAAATTTGAGAACTGGTTTGAATTCAACAAGATGGAATTCAATAAAGATAAGTGCAAAGTATTCATGTGAGAAGGAAAAACTAAATGCATAATTACAAAATGGGGAATAACTTGCTAAGTGATAGGCTCTACAGCTGAAAAAGGATCTAGGCTTATAGTGGATCACTACTTGAATATGAGTCTTATATCATTGTGGGGTGTATTAACAGGAGTTTTGTTTGTAAGACATGGGAGGTAATTGTTCCAATCATCTGGAGTATTGTTTCCAATTCTGGGTGCCACACTTTAGGAAAGATGTGGACAAACTGGAGAAAGTCCAGAGTAGAGCAAGAAAAATGATAAAAGATTTAGAGAACCTGACCTATGAGGAAAGATTTTAAAAACTGGGCATGTTTAGTCTGGAGAAAAGAAGACTGAGTGGGGACCTGGTAACAGTCTTCAAATATGTTAAGGGCTGTTATAAAGTGGACTGTGATCAATTGTTCTCCATGTCCACTGGAGTAAGACAAGTAGTAATGGGCTTAATCTGCAGCAAGGGAGATTTAAGTTAAATATTAGGAAAAAAGCTTTCTAACTATAGGGGCAGTTAAGCTCTGGAACAGGCTTCCAAGGGAGGCTGTGGAATCCCCATCACTGGAAGTTCTTAAGAACAAGTCATACAAAAAACGTATCAGGGATGGCTTAGATTTACTTGACCCTACCTCATTTCAGGGAGCTGGACTTGATGGCATCTCAAGATCCCTTCCAGCCCTACATTTCTGTGATTCTAAGTAACATTGTGAAGTTTGAAAAATGGTGTATACTGAGAGAAAGTTTAAAACTCTGAGTTGAATTATGGAGCTACTTCTTGGTACCTGGATCCCTTCATTTTTTCTAACTTGGAAGATATGATGAAATATTGAATGTTTGAGAATGTTTTCAGTGAAGAGCTTCTACAGCTATCTCTCCCCTCACCCTGTTTCCTATATCCTCAGAGTATGCTGGGAAAGACTCTGTTCATGTTCTTTACTAGCCACAGCTTACATCTTCACAGAGCAGTGCCTTTCCTCTTTAGAGATTTTTCCAAATATATGGTTACTGAATGGACAGTTGGGGCATTTGGCAGGTTGAGAGGCAGTTTGGAATTGTGGTAGAAGCATGTTATTTAGCATGATGTTTCTGCAAACAAAATCAGAAATGAAATAGTTAGCAGTGTTGACATTTAAATGGTCATTGATAGATTTGAGAGTTAACTCATTGAGATGAGTGGCGCAATTTGCGCCTTTTAGTGCTGTTGTTTCAGATTGTCTGCAGACTCTGAAGAAAACAGTGCTTCAGTGAACATTTTGTTTCAAAATTATGAGGGCTAGAAACATAATTTTTTTAAATGAAAAATCAAATTCTGGAGCAAAATTTTGCAGTATGGGATGTATAAGAGGTGGTTCCACAGAATTGGGAAATACATATGACCCTGTTGCATATTAGTAAATACAGAAGTGAACCAAAAATCCACCAAGAAAGACATCTTGTCCTTGCGAGGTTTCTCTGTAGTGGGCTTTGGATCCTCTTCTTACTCATGAACTCTTGGAAATGAGGGCTAAGCTCAACCTCAGCTTGCTTCAACTCCTACATTTTGATAAGGAGGTAGAAGTCTACAATCATCATCTCTACTGCTCCATCCACAGAGAGGAGCAACCTCTATCCACAGTACAGATGGAGTCATTTATATATCCATAGGAGGTTTCTGTATTCATGCTGGAGGCTGGCATTTCACTACTATTTTTGCCTCTACATTGCACGCACCTCTTTCTTGTCACACATAAAGCAAACACAGGGAGTGCCAGCCTGGGAAGACACCAGCTGATTAGATCTCCACTCTTAGTCAAAAGAAAGGAATGGGGAGATAAGAAAAAGAGAGACGGCATGTATTACAGGATTTTTGAAATCTTATGACAAGATCCTGGGACCCATATCACATCTTGGATATGGATGATATTAAACACAGTAGTGAAACATTTCACCAAGGCAACATCTGCAGGCTAAAGCATAAGATGTGAAGTGTCTTTGGAATACACATTGATGAATCCTTTTGAACTGATGCTGGTATATTCATAAGTTACAGTCTCAATAACGTTTATATGGCTCCATGTCTAGTTGGCAGCCGGTATCAAGCGGAGTGCCCCAAGGGTCGGTCCTGGGGCCGGTTTTGTTCAATATCTTCATTAATGATCTGGAGGATGGCGTGGACTGCACTCTCAGCAAGTTTGCAGATGACACTAAACTGGGAGGAGTGGTAGATATACTGGAGGGTAGAGATAGGATACAGAGGGACCTAGACAAATTAGAGGATTGGGCCAAAAGAAACCTAATGAGGTTCAACAAGGACAAGTGCAGAGTCCTGCACTTAGGACGGAAGAATCCCATGCACTGCTACAGACTAAGGACCGAGTGGCTAGGCAGCAGTTCTGCAGAAAAGGACCTAGGGGTTACAGTGGACGAGAAGCTGAATATGAGTCAACAGTGTGCTCTTGTTGCCAGGAAGGCTAACGGCATTTTGGGCTGTATAAGTAGGGGCATTGCCAGCAGATCGAGGGATGTGATCATTCCCCTCTATTCGACATTGGTGAGGCCTCATCTGGAGTACTGTGTCCAGTTTTGGGCCCCACACTACAAGAAGGATGTGGAAAAATTGGAAAGAGTCCAGCGGAGGACAACAAAAATGATTAGGGGTCTGGAGCACATGACTTATGAGGCGAGGCTGAGGGAACTGGGATGGTTTAGTCTGCAGAAGAGAAGAATGAGGGGGGATTTGATAGCTGCTTTCAACTACCTGAAAGGGGGTTCCAAAGAGGATGGATCTAGACTGTTCTCAGTGGTACCAGATGACAGAACAAGGAGTAATGGTCTCAAGTTGCAGTGGGGGAGGTTTAGGTTGGATATTAGGAAAAACTTTTTCACTAGGAGGGTGGTGAAGCACTGGAATGGGTTACCTAGGGAGGTGGTGGAATCTCCTTCCTTAGAGTTTTTAAGGTCAGGCTTGACAAAGCCCTGGCTGGGATGATTTAGTTGGGAATTGGTCCTGCTTTGAGCAGGGGGTTGGACTAGATGATCTCCTGAGGTCCCTTCCAACCCTGATATTCTATGATTCTATCAATGCTACTGAGGAATTAACAAAAGTATGGTAAATCCCAGTTGGGAATGAGATTGCAGAAGTATTATTTTAGCCTTACAATGGAGAGCCTTATTGAGTATGTTGCATCTGTGGCAGTTATTAAGGGAAGAGTAAAATTAAACACTGAGGTTGTGTGTACATTGTTAAAGGCTTTGAATTTACTCATATTTTTATGCAAAGTAATAAATCCCTCCTCACTGGTGTCAAATACATACCTAGGATTCTGTTTTTCTCCATTATTTCTCTACGGTATATAACTAGTGAAAGTTGCTGGTTGTTGCAATGATACCTGCATGGAGAAGGAGAGTTGGTTTGCTACAGATGATTTGTGATACTATTCTGCAGCAGACTTCACACTGAGATTTTGTAGTAGAAGGTAAAGATTTCCAGAGGGCTTGCCTTTCTTTAGGCAAATCTTTATTGAGAAGGGAATATCTTATCTGAACTCATGACATTCTTGATGCCTTCCTCACGATATCTGCCAACTTTAGCACTGCTATGGGGAAATCATCCCCTAAATGGTCTCTCTTTCTCTTGCTGATTTATAGTAATGATGCAGTTATTTAAAATAAGACCTTTTTGGCTTTTAGGCCTGAAGATGAATGCTGTGAAGTATTTTGGGGACAGCAGCAGGAGTATTTTTGGGAGTTAGCAGCAGGTAGACAAGGAAAGGTTTTGCCACTGTAGTTAACATCAATTTAATATATAAGGTAACAGCGTGTAGCAGACACAGTGAACGCTGGAACCCATTTTATCTGGAGCAAGTAGGAGCACAGTGCCATGCAGCGAATGAAGGTCTGAGTAAATACCAAGGAAGCATTGCACACCTATTCAACAAGCTTTGTTAATATGATTTATTTTAACAACTGTTGTAGCATTGACTTGAGAGGCAGCATTCTTATTCATTATACTGTTTACAGGGGTCAGGTTCCTGCTGAGGCAGAGCTGAATTACTTAGGAGTGGCCAAATCACTGGAAATGTATGGAGTAGATCTCCATCCTGTCTATGTAAGTACTGTTTTAATTGAAGCAAAATATTTTAAATTTGATGGCATTACAAAAAGTCTTTTAAACTTAAATAGAAAGCTGTAATTATAATACTTAATAACCAAGTGGTATCTTTTTTTAAAAACTGAGTTTAAGAAATCCAAAGGAAAAAGTACTTTTGAGGAACATGGATCAACTCCGTTTATACCTAAGGAAGCCTAATGGGTTTTGGATGAAAGAAAGTGATTCTGTTTCCCTCTGAAAGACAATTAACTGTGCTGAACAAACAATATGGATAACAAATGTAAGAGCTTTAATATAAGTGTCAGAACAAGATAAAAGAGGGTTATAATTGCCATGTTCAGAACAGGAAATATGAAAATAATACAATAAACGAGTGAGTGCTGAAAGGGCTTCAAAGTCATTGCAAATAATAGGTAACAAATAGCTGATTTGGGGCAAGAGTACATGGGACTTCAGAGGTTTGTTTTAATATTCATTGTGAAGGTTACTAAAGAGTCAGGGCACGTTTAAAAAAATCTCACTGCAATATCATGCAGCATTTCACATTTTTTTATGCCAGATTGAAGATTCCTCAATTTGTATTACAAAACAGTATTCAAGCTTTTACTTGAAGACTACAGTGCTCAGTCAACCTAGCAATTAAAAATTATTTTGTTTCAATAATTGTGTGTATGGCATTTTTTTAAACAAAAGAATATCTCAAACTACAAAAATAAGTTGAATTGTGAGCTTTAATGGAAACATTTTGCTAATTTAAATTTAGCTAATTTAAATGTCAGTACTTTGAAAAGTTGTTAAAAGAAAAATCAAAGAAAGCCCATAAAGATTAATTATGTAATTTGCTGAAAATTGCATAGCCCACTGGATGAAGTATTTCTCTGTTACTAAATCATGGATTGTGCTACTATTTTTGGACTTCATGCGTATGCAGTATCATGTTCCCCTTCTCTTATAGGCAGCTGGGAGACTTCATGGAACAGGTTTTTACCCACTGCCAAGTTAGTCATATAAAATTTGTCTAGCCTGGAAAAATTGTTTTGACCCAGTCTTGTTTGGGATGTACACAGAGATCCATAACGGGGCAGGGAGAATGCATTGTAATGTATCTCTGCAATCTGTTCAGTGCTCCTTCTTCATCTAGCCATTGATTATTACTATTGTTTAATATCCATATTACAGTAGTGCAAAAGCCCTCATTCAGGATCAAAACTCCATTGTACTAAGTACTATTCAGACCTGTACAGTGACATGGTTCCTTCCCCAAGGCACCTACACGCTAAGTAAGCTCTCTATGAATAGTTTTGGAAGTTAGTCAACTCACTGAAGAGCACTGAGAATGGCACATACGTTAACCGTAGATACAGAAATTGAGGGAGGTCATTCATTTGGATGTTCTCAATTAAGAATTTTTACTTAATTAAACGCACTTTCTACAGTCATTTGATCTTGTGACTGACATCTTTATGGTCCAGGCTTTGCTGGTCTGGACTAATGGGGCTGCACCATATTCTCCCAAACAGGTAAATAGACTAATCTTCTCTCTTGGATTTTTGGTGCATTTCCTGTCCCTGTGAGCAGCCTTATGCTCTAAGATCTCCAGTCTTTATAGTACCTTTAGTGTAGTAGGATATACCAAGACAATAGTGACCATTTATAAAGACAAAACGTTAGGGCAAAAGTGCCTGGATAGTGAGACAGGGCTTTCTCAGACTGAGGCAGGCTGTTCTTACTCTCCTGTTGCCAGTCCCCTTCACATTGTGGGAGTGGAGACCTGCCATGATATTCTCCTATAAGGGAACAAGTAGCCAACATTGGAGCCACTAATGGGTCCTGGCTGAATTCTCTGCTGCTGGTGGACAAGGGAGGGGAAGGGGAGCAATTCTAGTTAATCCACGTCATCCAGAACAGTCCATCAGGCCTGTTTCCATCCCTGTTCCTCAAGCTCAGTAGCTTCAAAGACATTTCATTGGTAGTGAGAAGGAAAGAGGACAACTACCTGCAGTCACTGCTAACTGGGGATGGGGCAGGAGTCACTAGGGATTGAGTAAGTTTTGATCATTCTGCAGCAAAATTTGGATTCAGTTAAAAATTCCACCACGTTTTCCTTAGCAAATGCTCCCAAAAGCAGAGCGCAACATAAAGGAATTCCCTGAAGAAACAAAGGAATCTTTCTGATGCTAGAAACGTAGGTGAGCCCTGTAACTCACAGGGAACACAGGTTAGTGTGTTGTTGAAAACTGAGAGAACATACAACTGGCTTCTATCCATGATCACAGCTGAATGCCACATAGAACTTTACTGAGTCACTCCCAGCAGTCATTTTAACTCTTGTCCAATACTGATGGATCCAAGAAAATTATGATGAAAATTCATTGTTTATGAGATTCTAAGTAGTGACTTAATGTAAACCCAATGTAAAAAGGTTTCAAAGAGTTTTCTTTCTCTTTGGTGCCCTGCCCAAAATATCAAGGGGTTTTAAACCTCAAAAGACTCAAATTCTTCGTGGCCTACAAATGCTTTGAAACTGAAATACTAAGTAACAGCCCTGGCAGAGCCAGGAGGCTATATAGTGTTAATAAAGGATGCTTTCCTCCTTATTCCAGTCACAGAGTCTCACCACAAATACCTTGGCTTGGCTTACAGACTATTCCTTGTCAGTTCTCATCTCTTCCCTTCAGGATTTCATCCTGTGTGATTTTGAATATTTACCATGAATTGTTGAGGCAGCTGCAATTTGCCATCAGAATTTTCATGTTATCCTGTACCAAGTTGATTGGCTATATAGACCCCAACAACTCAAGAAGTATTTCATATGGGGAAGGAACTGGGTCCCTCCTTATCATGGGCTTTGTTATCCATTGTGAGAAAAGTGCTCTGAATCCCTCATTGCAGTTGGTTTATTTAGGAACCCTCTCCAGCATCACGAGGGCAACAGTGTTTCAATAAGGAGAAGGTTTCTTCAATCATGTTACAGGGAAGCAGGTCAGACTAGCATTATACACCTTAATTCAAGAGTTACAGCATTTGTTGGGTGTCCTGTCTTGATAGGGGATTTATTCTTTGGGTTTTGTGCCTCTCATCTGCCCTCATGAAATCCTTTCTTTTCCAATGGAAAAATGGAGACCCTCATGGCCCAGAACTTCCTGAAAGTGCATGTTCATTTGTCCATGACATGGTGGGAAGTTCATGTTCATTTGTGAAAAACTTTGGCCTTTGTGGCTGGGCTGCGCACAGAGGTACGTCAGATGGCAGAAATCTAAGTCAGCAGATCAGTCTTTGGGAAACAAAGGAGCAGCAATTTAATTTCAGATTGGTGGAGCCTCTTGCAGAAATACAATTTTAAGGTAGGAAATAATTTTTTAGGAGTGGGTTGGCATGGTGCTTGTTCAAAAATTAGTTGGACATTTGTCTGAAGGAAAGTCAGGGTTCAGAAGAACAGCCTGTAGAATATCTCAAGAGACCTCTCTTCTGCTGGAAGTCCCTTCTTTGTGCTTTGCCACATTGGTAGCTCCTACCTCCTTACACGTGGTGGGGTTAACTAGTAGTATTTAAAAATGGCTGTTATTTAATGTGGTACATGGATGCTGGTTAGATTAGGGAGATGACTGGTTGTGTCATTTTCTGCGTCTCCTTTTGATTACAGTTTTTGACCCCTCCATGATTTCCCAATATGATCATTACATTTTCAGTTCTGCAGGGACCAGAAGTTAGTTGAGCAGACTGATGGTTCATGTGTCTTGGTTGGTATGGTAGAATGAACCTATTCTAGCATTCAGAAGTATATTTACATTATGAGTAAATACTGTATCTTATGCAGTGTGAAGTTTTGACTGTAATTACTTTCTTTAGATTTTTAAAGAAGAGAAATATGGCATTTTAGTTGATGAATTGTTTCTCAATCTTACATGATTCATGTAAGAAGTCCTTACTTATGAGAGCAATCCCACTGAAGGTTATAGGATTACTCCCATGAGTAAAGTTACTCAAGGAAGAAAGAATTTTGTAGGATTGGGTGGCTAGCTTACTAAGATGATGATGATCACAATATCCACTTATACAGAGGTTTTCATCAGCAGATTTCAAAGAGCTTTACAAAGGAGGTCACAGTATCATTATCCCCATTTTACAGATGAGGAAACTGAGGCACAGAGAGGTTAAAGTGACTTGCCCAAAGTTACCTAGCAGCAGAACCAGTAATAGAACCCATTTCTCCTGAGTCCCACGCCAGTGCTCTATTCACCAGGCCACACTGCTTCTTAGATGATATCTATAAAAATAAAATTGTGGTTGTAAGTAATAAAATGACATATGTTCTGTTTTCCAGGGTGAAAACAAGTCTGAATATTTTTTAGGATTAACACCTGTAGGAGTTGTTGTTTACAAGAATAAAAAACAAGTAGGGAAGTATTTCTGGTATGTACAACATAATATTGCAGACTGTATTAAAATAATGTGGCTATAAGGAAAAATAAAAAATACTGAATATACGTATGATATGACTGGTTAGTTTTATAAGAACTAAACTGATGTACTTGTTGGAATCACTGATCTTTCTGTCTAGATTAAATTGTCTGTGTTCTATTTCTAATATTGCAAGAGATGGGTTTAGCTTTCCCTGCTCCCATTAAAGTGTTTAAGTAAATTTGTTAGTCTCTAAGGTGCCACAAGGACTCCTCATTGTTTTTGCTGATACAAACTAACACAGCTACCACTCTGAAACTTTTTTTCTTGTGAGTAATATATGTGGAGCACTGGTAAAAATGATCATATATGAATGGCTTACTGAAACTCTCCTTTCAATTTTTTTGTTTCTTCTTTGTGTCTTTCTGATGTGTTGGATTTAAATACCATAACATGTCTCTTTATCTTTTTTTCAACATTTAGGCCTAGAATTACAAAGGTTCATTTCAAGGAAATGCAGTTTGAACTTAGAGTGCTGGGAAAAGATGTAAGTTTTTATTTCAAGTCTGAAAGAAGAAATAGTGAAACTAATCAAGTTAACAGTTTGGTGTGTTCAGTGAAATGAAACTATTATTGCCAGTTTTGCTTTTAACCACCACCACAAAAACTCCTCTTATATTTAAATTTATTCCCAAATGTAATCTTTCTTGATGGGTATTGTAGGTAGGGTTAAGTTTTCTCTCTTTCCCCCCTGCCTATTCTTCACTTTGCAGGGAAGGCAGGAAAGCCCTACTGAAGCAGAGCAGAATGGGACTTTATCGTATATTATCAAGATTTGTTCTTCTATGCCATCAGTAAGGCCCATGTTTTAGAATATTGCAGAATGTCTATTCATGTACAAACAAGTCTGAGTTCTACTTTAAAGTAAATTACATATAGGTAATGCTGTAGTTACTGTCTGATGGCACATGTACGTAGTAAGTATTTGTGTGAAATGCCTGGAATTACTTCAGATGTTTAACAAACTGAATGAGAAATCTGGAAGCTTGAGAAAGGAGACATAGGTTTACGGTGTGGTTGACTCATAAACTTGTTGAAAGTTTTATATTGTGCTCATAATAGGCCATCTCCCTGATGGTATTCGGCAGTTTCAAGCCCTGACAGGTATTTTTAGAAAACTGTTTAAGAGAACAGCAAGAACAAGGGTGTGAAAGATCATTAAAATCTGCACTGCAACTAATGCTTCTTTGAAGTGCTATTGCAATACTCTGTATTCTGACAGTATAGGGAGATGCCAGAATGTCCAAACATATCCACCTTCCTGTTTTTGATACATATGTTTTTTTGTTACTACAAAGGAGATTGTTGATGAAATAAATAATTGTGTCAGTTGTCTTATCTTTCTGATTCTATTTCATCATAATGCTGATTTATGCAGCTACACACACAGATAAGCATAGGTGGCCAGTGTGGCTTGCCTGCTCCTAAATTCCAACATCATGATGCTATAGGATATTCCCAAATTTATTTTATTCTCTTTATATCCTGGAATAAATGCCAGCACCGTGTCATTTCACAGGGAAACTGAGACAAGAATTTGCAATATGATATGGGTGCAAAAAATGCCATATCTGCATTGTGCTACATTCTGGGAGACATCCTACCCTGGAGGAGGAAGGGACTATTCCTTCTCCTTACAGATATAGTGTGACCAAACCTGGAATATTGCATTCATTTCCAGGCACCTCAATTACCAGAAAGATATTAACAATTAGCATTAGCATTATAGATACAGTAATTTCAATCCACCTTTCTAAAACGTTCAAGCAAACAGACCATATGAACTCTGGGTTAGTACTCTCTTGACAGCTGCTTTTCCTTTTTGGACTAGAGAATGTGTGGGTGTGTGCATGGTGGTGTCTGCAGATGTTCATACTGGATCGTTGAAACACAAATTGAAGTGATGTGCCTAAAACACAAATGCGAACAAGGAATGGTGATAATTGGCTATTATTACGCTCTTATTCAGTCTAAGAAATGATGAAATTTTACAGCCAAATGCTGAAGTGTGTGAAATAATGGTGAGTTCTACATTAGCATCGAATCCTGAAACCCCTTACTCATACAAGTAGTTCTTACTCACTTGAGTATCAGTTCAGTTCATTGTGGCTATTTACATAAATGAGGGTTCATCACATTAATAAGGGTTTGCAGGATAAGGCTCTAATTTATCAGTCATGAATTATTGCTGAAGTGAACGAATGGACTTAGAATGTTGATAGTACAAACAACACCATCACAAATGGTGCATTGTAGGACCTGAGCAATGGAAAGACCTCCATTGACTTCAAGGGCTTTGGATCAGGCCCATAGTGGACCGAGACCCCAATTCAACAACAAACACATGCCTAACTTTAAACATCTAAATGACCATAGACAATATTCCTGACTTATTTAGGTTCAGTATTTTGTCTGTTTACTTCTCAGATGATACACTGAGGCCCAACACTGTGATTATCAGCACTTGTAATCATGAATGCATACCTCATGGGGCTTCTCACATGCTTAATTGGGCATGCGCTTAAATACCTTGCTTGCTGAATGGCTGCCTTGGATTTTTTTTTTAAAGCTGTTGTACTCTATCTATTTTGTGAACAGAGAAGTTCAGTCTTGGGGCCACCAGTTTTGCACCTTTCACAAACACTATGTTAATTTTGTTATTAAAAATAAATAAAAAATGTAAATTGTAGTCAGAATTTTTAAATAAATACAGAGTTAAAAGTAATTGGTGTTGATGCTTTGTCTCTAGATTTTGTGGGTGGTTTTTTTTTTTGAGAGCTGGATGTTAATTAAAATGGAGCTCCTCTAGCTCCCCTCGACAGAATGATGATGATGACGAAATTCTACAAATCAGAATTTCCTTTCTCTTAGGTAGGACTTTACAGCATGGGGGATTCTCATAGACTTTAAGGCCAGAAGGGACCATCGTGATCATCTAGTCCGACCTCCTGCACACTACAGCCCACAGAATGTCACCCATCCTCTACTGTAATAGACCCCTAACCTCTGTGCAGTTACTGAAGTACCCAAATCATGATTAAAGACTTCAAGTTACAAAGAATCCACCATTTACACTAGTTTAAACCAGCAGGTGACCCATGCCCCATGCTGCAGAGGAAGGTGAAAAAAAACAGGGTTTCTGCCAGTCTGACCTGGGGGAAAATTCCTTCCTCATCCCAGATATGGTGATCAGTTGAACCCTGAGCATATTGGAAGCCCCACCAGCCAGACACCTGGGCAGGAATTCTCTGGAGTAACTCAGAGCCCTTCCCATGTAGTGCTCCATCTCTGGCTGTTGGTGATTTTTGCTAGTAGCAGTTGCAGATGGGCCACGTGGCATTGTAGGCACTCTCATCATGCCTTTCCCTCCATAAATGTATCAAGCTCAGTCATGAAGCCAGTTAGTTTTTTTGCCCCCGCTGTTCCCCTTGGAAGGCTGTTCCAGAACTTCACTCCTCTGATGGTTAGAAACCTTCATCTTATTTCAAGCCTAAACTCGTTGATGGCCAGTTTATATCCATTTGTTTTTGTGTCATCATTGGCACTTAACTTAAATAACCCCTCTCCCTCCCTGGTGTTTATCCCTTTGATGTATTACTAGAGAGCAACCATATCTCCCCTCAGCCTTTGTTTTGTTAGGTTAAACAAACCAGCTTAAGTCTCCTCTCATAAGTAGGTTTTCCATTCCTCTGATCATCCTAGTAGCCCTTCTCTGCACCTCTTCCAGTTTGAATTCATCTTTTTAAACGTGGGAGGCCAGAATTGCACACACTATTCCAGATGAGGTCTCACCAGTGCCTTGTATGAGTGCAATAACACTTCCTTATCTCTACTGGAAATACCTTGCCTGATGGATCCTAGGATTGCTTTAGCCTTTTTCATGGCCAAATCATTTTGGCATCTCATAGTCATCCTGTGATCAACCAGTACACCCAGGTCTTTCTCCTCCTCTTTTGCTTCCAACTGAAGCTTTGCTTCCAACTTTCTCCTCCTCTTTTGCTGTCCTCAGCTCATAGCAAAAATTCTTGTTGTTAGTCTGCTAAGTGCATGACCTTACACTTTGCACTATTAAATTTCATCCCATTTCTATTCCTCCAGTTTTCAAAGTCCTCCAGATCTTCTTGTATGATATTCCTGTCCTCCTCTGTATTGGCAATAACTCCCAACTTTATGTCATCTACAAATTTTATTAGCATGTTCCCACTTCTTGTGCCAAGGTCATGAATGAAAATGTTAAATAAGATTGATCCTAAGACTGATCCCTGAGGAACTCCTCCAGTAACCTCCCTCCAGCCTGACAGTTCACCTTTCAGTATGACTCCTTGTAGTCTCCCTTTAACCAGTTCCTTATTCACTTTTCAATTCTCATATTAATCCCCATCTTCTCCAATTTAACTAATAATTTCCTATGTTAAATTGTATCAAATACCCTACTGAAATCCAGGTAGATTAGAGCTACTGCATTTCCTTTGTCTAAAAAATCAGTTATCTTCTCAAAAAGATGATGAGGTTGGTCTGGCACAATCTACCTTTTGTAAAACCATGTTCTATTTTGTCCCAATTACTGTTTGATGATATGGTCCATAATGAAGTAAATGAATTAATGCCCTATAATAATAATAATAATAACAACAACAAACTGTACTAGAATATATTAAATGCTTTATGTAGAACATAGTTTTAATATCACAGTGGAAAGTCTGTAAACATTGTTATAATTTTAGGCTTTAATTTATATTTTCAACTATTGGCAGATGTGAATTAAAAGCAATCAAACCCACTTCTCACAGATATACCAATGTAGGGAGAATAGTCTCTTAGTTACTTTTAGTACTTTGTGTTTGTGCAGTGGTGCTGCACCTTAACAGTTACTTAATGGAAAGCCTTGCTTGTTTTCAGTTTCCCCTTAAGGCAAATGAAAATTAAGGTTCAGATTTTCAGAGCTGTCTAAAGGATTTGGATGCCCAATTCCCATTAACATTAATGGAAATGGACATCCAAATCCCTAGATGGATTTACGCATTTCAGCCCAAATATACAGAGCACTGTCCTCAGGCTGGTTAAAGATTACAATATGGAGTTTTTGTGTCAGGGAAAATTATTTATCATTGATGCTAGTGAGCCTGTTGTTTACATCATTTGGCTTTTCACAAACTCAGTGATTCAACAAGCACAAAATATTTACTGTTGCTGCATTTATAATGAAATTAAGAGCTTCACCTTCTCTGTTTCTTGTACTGAGATCTGTAGTGCTTCAGCAGTTCTCTTCCCTGAAAACCACTTGTATAATTATGACTTGTTTACTCTATTTCTGTAAACCCATTTCTGCTGTATACTAATATTACTATAAGGTAATTGGATTTAATCTACACCTAATTTATATCCTGTATCATTTAATTTTTTTCTCCATTACACTATCTACATTATTTTTTCTCATGCTTTTTAAAAATGGCAAAAATAGTATTTTGCTGTCCCTGGCTTACCATT